AAAACATTTATTTTTGTGTCTAAGCGTATTTAACTACAATCCTGCTACCAACGAAATTCAGTATTTTGAGTGTTCAAGCCGGCCAGAACGTACATCGGATCGGCCCCACAATTCCCCGCGCCACGTGCTGCAATGTAGGATTGGCTCGATGCTTTCTGAGATTTTCTGGAAAAGTATATTCACTGACGCGTGAGCTGATATAACATGAGGAGTCTACAGAAAGATTGCTAAATCATTGCCTTTCTGTATGTCAGCAACTTTCCATCAGGATTTTCGGAGGATAATATTGTTACGCCGATGGATGTTCCCAGTCTCTCTGTAGCTGAATTTCTCAGTAGTTGAACACGGAAACCAGTTCCTACCGAGCGTTTTCGTCCTCGTGAAGCCTTGCTAAAATGGGTGGACGGAATTTAACTTTCTCGTGAAAAAATCTACAGGTGATTCAATAGTTTAAAATCAGTTAAAGAATTGTACCCGACGGTATTTTCAACCGTGTCCCCATAGAATGGTATCTGATTATTTTATGTAATCTTGCAGTTCCGTCTAGAAATATTAAGAAGGACCAGAAAAAGTGTGCTGCGATCGACAGCGGTAGCTGCTGCATTGGGGGGAGGCATGCTGAAGGAGATTAGCCTTCAGGCAGTCTACTGTACAATGTTTCCAATGCATTCTTTGCTTTCAGTGGTATTGGATTTGCCTTCAGCTGTTGTACTGTACAATGTTTCCAATGCGTTCTTTGCATTCAAAGAAATTGGATTTGCCTTCAGTCATTGTACTGTACAATGTTTCCAATGTGTTCTTTGCTTTCAGTGGAATTGGACTTGCCTTAATTCATTGTACTGTACAATGTTTCCAATGCGTTCTTTGCATTCAGTGGAATTGGATTTGCCTTCAGTTGTACTGTACAATGTTTCCAATGCGTTCTTTGCATTCAGTGGAATTGGATTTACTGTACAATGTTTCCAATGTGTTCTTTGCTTTCAGTGGAATTGGATTTGCCTTGAGCCATTGTACTGTACAATGTTTCCAATGCGTTCTTTGCATTCAGTGGAATTGGATTTGCCTTAAGCCATTGTACTGTACAATGTTTCCAATACGTTCTTTGCTTTCAGTGGAATTGGATTTGCCTTCAGCCATTGTACTGTACAATGTTTCCAATGTGTTCTTTGCATTCAGTGGAATTGGATTTGCCTTCAGTCATTGTACTGTACAATGTTTCCAGTGGAAATGGATTTGCCTTAAGTCATTGTACTGTACAATGTTTCCAATGTGTTCGTTGCTTTCAGTGGAATTGGATTTGCCTTCAGCCATTGTACTGTACAATGTTTCCAATGTGTTCTTTGCATTCAGTGGAATTGGATTTGCCTTCAGTCATTGTACTGTACAATGTTTCCAGTGGAAATGGATTTGCCTTAAGTCATTGTACTGTACAATGTTTCCAATGTGTTCCTTGCTTTCAGTGGAATTGGATTTGCCTTCAGCCATTGTACTGTACAATGTTTCCAATGTGTTCCTTGCTTTCAGTGGAATTGGATTTGCTTTCAGGGTTTGTACTGTGCAATATTTCCAATGCGTTCTTTGCTTTCAGTGGAATTGACGTAGGAAACATGTCTGAGGAGATCTGGGCTTTTGGTGAGACAATTGCGCAAGATGTTGCATGTGTAAAAACAACAACGGCAACACAGGCTTGTGACCGCGCCTGCGGTGGAAGAAGCGAAAGTATACAGGATGCAGATTAAGGAGTAACATATATTTGACGCGCGCCTTGCAAAACTCATATTCCAAACGTACATACGTGAAATTGGGCACGCGAATGTAGTTTCGCGAGAGGTTTGATGTCTATTTTTTTTCGTAGAGCTTAAGTCAGAAATTGTAAATTAGTACGAATATTGCAAAAAAAAAAAAAAAAAGCGGTCGTGCATTTTCTATGGCTTACCGGATGTTCATTGGCTACACACAGTTTTGTGAGCTTACTCCCAGGTGGTCATTGTTTATATATTTCGTTCAAATTATTAATTATCGCCATTATCTTCCTCATTATACCTTAGAAAATGGGCCGAGAAGTTAAAAGAAACATTTTATGGAAGTTAGTCAAGTGAGGCAAAGAGTATAGTCAACTCTTTTCCTGATTGTACGTCAAAAGTGTGAAATGTAACTTTAGCATATAGCCATCCGACGTGAGCACACATTCAAACTAAGCACAAGAGCGAAAATCTATATAAAAAACAATAATTGCAGCACCGGGGCATATATTTAAGTGCACCGAAGGTACAGCAAAGCCACAATACGGGACAAAAGCTGGAAAATAACGCGACGTTAGCTCAATGCCATGTGTGAGTGCGTATACAAAAAGACCAACATCATTTGCTCCAATTAAATAGCGATAGTGTTTTCAAACTGAAGCATATGCGAGTACTTTTTCAGCACAACCTATTCACTGTCTCGTTAGCGACAAACCTATATTTAATGGAACTCCGGTTAATCTGATGAACGTTGACTGCATAAAGAAAAAACTGAAATATGTTTACTAATCTCTGTAACGCGAAATTAGAGCGCAGCTCTTGAGAAAGAGGAGGGGATATTACGGACGGGAGGGTATGCCCCTCCTTCTCCTCTTTCATCCCCTCCTCCTCCAATTCAGCGGGGAATATGACGTCATACGACTTGGTGTCACGTTACCTATGAACATATAGCGGGAAGATTGAAGTCACGTGACCTCAACACGAGCTAAATTCTTCGTTGAATTTAGCGGGAATTGAATTGATGTTTGAGGTCACGTGACGTCAATTTTCCCGCTAAATGTAGCGGAGAAACTGAATTTGTCCGCTAAATTCAGAAACTGAATTTTCCCGTTAAATTTATCGAGGAATCGAATTGGTGTTGAGTTCACGGGACGTCAATTTTTCCACTAAATTTAGCGCGGTTACGCCGACGCCGCGAAACACGGAAACCGGGTAACCGCCTCTCCGGGTAACCGGCCCTCGTCAAGCTTGCAACCTGTTGATCAAAGCTGACCGGCAGTTTATGCTGGCAGCTTTTTGTAATGGCTGCGTGAAGGCAGGAGGATGCAATCCCCCGTTTTACGAGCTTTGAGTGGGCACTGCTGAAATAAAGGAGGCCTTTCTTAGTTCGTGCTAAAAGAAAGAAGGCCTAAGAAAGGCCACCTTTAATGCAACAGTGCCCACTCAAAACTCGTAAGACGGGGGATTGCATCCTCCTGCCTTCACGCAGCCATTACAAAAAGCTGCCAGCATAGACTGCCGGTCAGCTTTGATCAGCAGGTTGCACGCTTTACGCGGGCCGGTTACCCGAAGAGCTTAGTGATAAGTGTGTGTGAAAGGCTCTTACAGAAAATTAAACGAGAGGGTGTTGACCAAAGTCGTAAAAAGACAGACAATATGCCAGTGCAGGTGATACCATATTTGCACAAAGTGTCCCACAATTAAAAAAAAAAAGATGGCTGTTAGACACAGGGTTAACGTCGTCTTCTCAGCCCCGTGCAAACTTTCAAAGATATGCTCCGCGATGACAAAACGAAAGTATGTAATGTACTCAAAGAAATATGTAACAAGATACACCGAATGCGTGACTAAGGTGGTGTATGAGATTTCTTTTAGTTGCGGCCAAGTTTACATCGGTCAGACCGGCCGATGCTTTAATGAAAGAGCGCGCGAACATAAGCTTGCCGCACGCAATAATTCGGGTGGGCATCTTGCGGAGCACTGGAAACGATGTGGGTGCGAACCTTTGTTTGAGCGCACGAGGTTTATCTAGAAAGGGAATGAAAAAATGGAAAAAGAACTAATCGAAGCTTTCTGTATACACAAAGCGGCTGACAGATGCGTAAGCATGCCATCTATTTATCTGTTAACCAAAGAAATTGTGTTTCTTGAAGGATGTGTGTAATGAGCGATGGGAATTTTTATCAGTTGCATGTGTTTAGGCGATTGGGATCGAGTTTGACGATGATTCGTGGTTCAATAAATCAGTTGGAAGTTGGCGCCTGTCCGTGTCGTACGTGTCTCTTTTTTCGTCCTGTTTGTTCGCGCCTTTTAACCTTTTAATAGAATACCCATATAGCTGAAAATCTTGAGTAGTGGCTTAATAATGCTATCGAATAAATCAATAAATATATACATATCAGCATTTGAACTGAGAATAGTGATCATCATCACTGTGTACAGTGATGATCAAAGCGGAGTTATGGATAATTTTGACTATATTGATCACTTGCGGAGTTTGAGAACGTGAAGATGAAATTACATCTTCAGAGTTTGTTATGTCCTGTACCTTGCCTTAGAGTCTTGTTCTCACATATTGAGCAACTCGCACGAGCTGCTAACTGAGTCAGCGTCTTTCATGCCGTTTTGTACGCACTTATTGATTTAAATAGGGTCTAAATTTTGGTAGACGCGTACCAACATATCGCATAGCGCTCCCGGACCATTAAACAGCGACCAACATCCGGCAAGGAGAGCCGTAGGCGCCGTAGACAGCAGAGGCAACAAGCAGGATGCTCAAATCACTTATGGTATATGTTTCCCCACTGGTTATGTGTCCGTATTTTTCTGACTCCTTGTAACTGTGTGGGGCTCTGATTAGGTCGTGTTTGTCGAAAATTATAGTCCTTCAGGCAACGTGACAAGTGTATCAAACACATTTAGTATTTAACTTTTCTCTGTATTTGGAGGTCGCCATGTGTTCACCAGCTAGGGAGGTACACCCACCTGCAATAGGAAGGTGAACACCTTACCTGGTGTCTTGCCTGTTTTACGGCTCCCTAAAGCTATATTAACTCTCAACGTCTCAAATGGTACGTGGCTTCGGGATATAAACTTTGCGTTCTAGCCCTTTTCTGGAACAGAGCTTGTTCCAAAACTTCCAGGAGCGTCAAAAACAAGAAGAAGGCTGTTCACCTTCCTAATTGCTCACGGGTGTACGTCGCGGATGGATTGTCCGGCACTGTGAACCGATTTCGTGCACCTTGGTTCTCGTTTCAGTTGGACTCCGCTCGCGTTGCACTCATCACATCGAATGCGCCCAACTCTACGCAGTCTGCAGCAACCTGACTCATAGCTGCGTCTGTCCGCGGGGATACCGGAGCAATGGCATCTCCTGCGACTACGTAGGTGAGGACTGCCGCCATGCCCGACGCCTAAATCGATACCACCCAGAGAAAGAGAGAGAGAGAACTTTTGTTGACTGAGGAAATGGGTCATAGGGAATAGAGGTCATGTTGGGGGTATAGTGGTGGGCGAGGAGCCAGAAGAAGACAAGGCCTTTCCCCGCCAACGCTATTGAATCCGCCTATAGCCTGCGTCAACATCTTCCCCAGCGCGTCTTGCAACGGTCTCACGACAACCGCGACGTCACTGACTGCTTAAGGAACGCAGGGCGTAACCTATAGGCCTGTTTCTCTTGACCAGAGTGCGCTGTAGCGTCGAAACGCGACTATTACAAAGAGATTCCAAATGATGGATAGTGGTCACGTGGTTTATTTGCCGCGTTTGCAACAGGAGGTGCCTATAACGTTGATCGTCTGCGAATGTTTCCGCCTTTCCTCCTGATTTCTTTCTCTCCACGCGAAAACGCAGCGCATGCACACTTGCGACCGATCGCCGCAGGAGGTGTCCGCCATCAAATTGCAAACGCTCGCCCTGTTTTGAGAAGGACCCTCTCTTTATTCTAGGCTGTCTAGACCCGATCGCAAAAGACGCGCCTCCACTAGCGTCCGAGAGACGCGACCATTTTATGCCGTCGTGAAACGGCGCCTTATAGCGTCCTATCACACTCGATTCACGGGCGTACAACTAGCAGCGTCCTTCAGCGCCTGTCCAAGGGCACTATATGACAGTCAACAGAGCATTTGAGAGGACGCAATGCGACGCACAGGGGAAACGCGACCTACAAATATCCGATTTTGCTCGCCAGGGGTGGTGCTGAAAACTTGAGATGTACAAGACCTCAGTGGCTGCAGAACGATGATCAGATGCTCGGGGCCCGGGGGTTGGCTGCCTTTCACGATCTATAGCTCTCGTTGAGTTCAGCGTCTTTGGCACTTGGAGGCGGGTCGGGGATCACTAAATACAACGTCATGGCCTTGTCCTCTAGGTACCTAAACACAGGTTTAGGCCTTTTGAGTAGTGGGGATAATTAAATGCGAGAGCATTTGAGGCGGTCCACGGACGTGATCTCGAGCTCCAACGTCCGAGTACCCTGCCAGACTAACGCAGTGCTCGTGTCGTCCGTTAGCACATTAGAGGCGAGTGGTTGACGTTACATGTCATTCTAACCGGAGACGACAGGCGACAAAGGGAACAAGAGACAAAAACACGCACGTCTCAACTGAGACGTGTGTGTGTGTTTGTCCCCTGCACCTTTTGTCGTCCGTCGTCTCCGGTTAGAATCATGTGTAACGTTGGCGTATCCTGCTTAAAGCGTTCCTCTTTGACAGCCTCGCTCCGATCGAGGTCCTTCCCGTTCGCTGCCGGGGTCCATCGCGCACTACCAGGTACCATCGGCTCTTCTCGACTTCCTGCAATGATTTCCTTGGCAAAGAATCGTATACACACCAGCAACAGATTCGCGTGAAGCGACTGCCCATGTGCACTGCCGACAGCAGCACCGCCGCACTGTCGTGATGTCAGAGAGTAGCGTTGGTGGAGGAACTTAATCAGAAGATGTGGGGATGTGGGATGTGGGGCCGGGCACTGTTAGTGTATTAGTAGGGATATGCCCTTCGTATCTCTATTAGTAAATTAATTAGCTTGTCTGGGGTACCTCTGCATGTATGTCTTTCAACCATGATAAATAATTAAAATATACCTCAATGTCATGCAAACATTATGTGTGCGTTTTTTTTTGTTTGTTTAATACCCAGGCAAGATAATTATGTCGGGGGAAAACGAGGCAAGAAGAAGTTTGTGTACCTATACAGCTTTCTTGCTGACTGAGTTTCTGCTTTCACAATGCGATGAGCATTATTTTAAAGGGATTGTCCGGCGATATCCGTAGGTTACTAAGGTCTTGCGCTGGTCTCGTAGAGAGGGCCTAAAGATAGTCAGATGTGCTATTTATTTCATTAAAAGACGCCCCAATATTTGTTATAACAATTAGGAACATCAATACGAAACTTCACGCCAAATTTCCTAAGTAGTCATGGCTGGTTGTATCGTGACGACGCATCAGGCATGGTAACGTCAGAGTTGCGGGCGTTGACTTATTCCCGGTTTTGATCAGCATGGTTGATGGAGCATACAAAGATCATCGTCGCAGAATTGAGCTATCCTCAATACCGTAAATCTTGTCTTTTTTAGGACGAAGTTCTAAAAAAGACTCTCTTGCAAAGAAAGGTTCTCTCTGCACGATGTTACGTCAGAGCTTCCGTTATTGCCAACGAAAACGCTGCAAGTTTTCCGGGTGCCACCTGAGCAGTTGGGCTCTGTTTAAAGTTAAATTACTTGCGCGGCGGAGGATTAAATATTCTAATCTTATGCGGATGGTATTCCCAAAAACGATGAAAATATAATTTAAGTGTTTTCTGAAAGACGTTTTAGCGAACAATCCCTTTAATAGACTATAAAGCGTAGATAGTATAATCTAGACGCGAAGTCTGAAACAGGGGATCTTGTTATTTCGTTACATTTCGTCAGCGCGTGCCAATCGACGTAAACGCACGCTCCAATCTTAGAACGTTCATTTTGGGCAAAAAGTATTCGAGCGAGCCTGGCGCTCGTGCTGCCACTGACGCACTTTGTTCATCCGTTGAAATTAAGCTGGTCCTGCAGGCGACCCGCCGGACAGCGTGGCCATCTACAAGGTGACCCTAGTTGTGGCAGCGGTTTTCATGGTGGTTGTGTTCACCTTCTTCGTCGGGTGCGTCATTAAAAGGTGAGTGTGCTCCTTCTTAGTTTCTTTTCCCCTTTGGAAATCTTTGTAAACATGATACGTGGAAAGAGTGGAGGGCATTACAGGAGGTGCTTGTCCTGCTTTTCTTCATTTAATTACCGTGCAACAAAGTTCTTTTCTTTTATTGTTTTTTATAGTAAACAATTTGAGGGCAGGAGCAAAAAAAAAAAAAAAAACCCTTTGTGACGGAAAAAAAAAGTTCAGTGAACGAGAGAGAAGACTGTGATGATGTTGTAAGAGGGCGAGCCTTTCGGCATGTGGTGTGGTTCTACATGTCAATGTTAATTTCATAGCGTTACCATATCATTTGCAGAACATGCGAGCGAGCTCGAGAGTACAACGAGAGGATGCGAGAACTGTCCACGGACGTGTACACCGTGCCGGTGGAGTTCGAAGGCATGGAGAAACCGCCTTCCTACACGGACATTGTCAAGATCGATCACATGGTGGGTCAGTTATCGCAGACTAGGAGTTCTGTTTTATATCCCGCATATCATTGTTGCATCAATGAGGCTCCCCGCAACCGCGCGCAAAATACTTCAATCCTAGTAATTAAAGGCTACGCTTGGCACTATTTGTTTATTTTTATTTTTTATTTCGAGGGTTTTGCGCATGCGGCATCATATAAAAAAGGCACAGACGCTAGCGGTTCTGCAAAATCATTTGCCTGCAGGAGCACTCTCGCGGTGAAAGCATTTTAAATAAATTACGTGGTCGTGTCCGTCTTTTCCACAACGCCGTGAGGTGGAGTAGAGATGTCAAAACTTGTAACGTTTCTAAATCAGGCAATTTGTCGGCGGAGGAACTGTTTTTGGAGCTAAGGTTATCATACGGCAAATGACGAGTGTATGAAGGAATTCCCGGTCGGCGAAGAACTAAAACGAGAACCAAGCAACTGTGAGATCATTTATGTTTACAGATACAGAAGGACTAAAACGAGAACGAAACGACTGTGAGATACGTCAATTATGTTTGCAGACACAATAATGATCCCCTTCGAGCATCTCGTGCTAAAAGTGCTACAGTTACTCTAAATGAATTACAGTTACACATCGCTGCAACCGTAACTCGTTCAGAGTGTACTTAGATCTAAAAGACGGCAGACTTCCCTCTGTGACAGGTTCCTGAATCTCTTTTTAATGTCGTTAAAAAGATTAGTCTTCATATAATGTAGGACATTGCATTTCTACAAGCAGAAGCGCACTGGGCTGTGAATTCCAGACGAATAATATTAAATATGAAATACCGTCGCAGTCACTGCGGCTTGAATTTTACGGAAAATATAAAATAATGACTCGCGACAATTTCCGATTTTTTTAAATTTTTTTACATCTCGATGTCATTTTAATATATGAACGCTCGAACGTTCATACACGCGTCTATACCGATGCACACACTTTGTTAGGCTATGACCACTCGCATCAACGGGAACCTTTAGAAGATTGTGTTTGTACTCTGCTAACCATACCCGATACTGCAAAGAAACCATTGCGCATGCATGCGCAAATGCACCGCTCACCACTGTGCGTGCAGGTATCAGGTGTCGCTATGGAAACGCAGACACGATTCGCTAGAACTCCCTATTAGGTAGTTTCCGTAGACCGTTTCCCCATCTCCGCTACGCTCTCCGCAACGAAGACGCCGCTTTTTTTTTTTTCAATAATTTTAGCGGGAAAAGTTTTCCGCTAAATCTAGCGGGGAATTTATTCCGCTAAATTTAGCGGAAGAAATTCCCTTCTCCTCCTCCTCCTCCCTCGTGACCCTCGTGACGTCACACGTGACATCACATGTGACGTCATTATGGGAAACGTCCCATAACGCAACGCTCGGTTACGCCGACGGCGACGCCGCTCAAGCCGGAAACGGGTGCCTAGCTGCGCTCTAAAATGAGATGGATTGTGATGCCAAATTGAGTGCGCAGGACTGAGAAGCCGTGTGAATAAGCAGCTATGTTTATCTTGAGTAACGATCAATGAGCCTCAATGAGAACACAGTAGCAACAGTAGCACACTGAGCACGGAACGTCTTTTCTAGATACATGTAATGAGGTTACAGGGATGAGGTCTTTCGCTGGATATTTGAAGGGTAATGTGGATAGACTTACAAGTTCAAAGAGTGTCATTGCCCTATTGTTCGCAAGTTGCTCTCCACACAGCATATTCCAAGCACTGGATATACACACCCTAACATAGCCCAGGAAATAACCAGCATGAGCTTGGAACATATGTACATTGCACTCCGAGATTAAACTAAACAATTTCTCAAAAAGCCTTGGAAAAAAAAAAGAATCACCCTTTCTAAAAGTGTTTATCCACATACATGGTGAGCACCCAGTTAGTTACCAAGTTCTCTTAGTAAACCAGTGATTTTCTCCAACGATTTAAGTCACATTTTTCGTAATTTCATATCAGATTAAACAAATCTACACCAAAGTTTCAGGAAGTCAACTCAATCTGCACATTCTTTGGTACAAATTGCCATAACTTTGAAGCCTTGACATTGCTTGAGATCTCCTTAAATTTGGCTTCACCTGCATTATAAACCACCCCTGTCCCTGGATTTCGGCTTCTTCGCAATGTTTCCGAGGTCACAAAGGAACACTCTGGACATTGGTGCTCGTAGGTGCTACAATGCACGTTACTGGTGCTCATAAGATCCCCGAAGTTCGCTTCACATCAGGCATAGCTCTGCTCCTTATCCCAGATTACAGCTTCTCTGCAGTTTTCCTAAGAACTTCATTGAGCAAACGCTGAGTTATGCACAATGGTGCTACAAGGATACTGCACATCCCATTGAGCCTGACCATGCTGTCAGATTGTGAATGGGCTCCTCATTTGTAGCGGCACGCATACGCACTGCGCAGTAGCGACGTTTTCGTTCCGATAGAGCGTCAAAGGGGCAAGCACGATCTACAAAACCCCTCTGACATCTGTCCTTGGCCGCGAAGGGCCTTTCTCAGTCGGATATAACTTCGTTTATTCCTGGCCAACAGCTGCAGCCGGACCGCCAGGGACTAAGTTCCTCGTAGCAGGAACTCGTGGCCGCGCGGTGTCTTTCGGCAGGCCCTTGCTCGATCCGTTGGTCCGACTCGGTGGCGATGTTCGTGGACACCTTCCCGTGGTCGGATCGTAAGGGCAGCCCGCCCTGGAGAGGTACAGGGCGGCGCAGTCCATCTTCGCCCTCCCGGCCTTGCGCGCGTCCTCGTCTTCGTGTTGCTCTCGAAGATTGAGGTCCTTGGCGAGGTCTTGGCAGCTGCTGACTGTCTGGATCATCTGCAGCGCTTTCGGAGTGTCCCGACACCACTTGGACGGAACATAGTTGGCGCGACAGTGGAAGAACCTGGGATAGCGCAATGCGTTAAAACATTCCGAAGTTTACGCAGTTCTTAAAAAAGAAACGAGCCAATCGATTCAGTCATCTTTGTGGGAGAGTGGCCTGCAGCAGAACCATGGTGCCTGGAACGCGTCTCCAACTCGCGTGGTCTCTCGATTCCTGCCTGATGACGTCATAGAAACGTCATGCTGTCGCCGACTGCGATTGTCGCGGTGTCACAGCGGCTGTGGTAGATGTGGCAAACGCCTGTTCCGTGGCGAGTCTCTCTCCAGCATGACATTCCGCGGAAGTTTCTGCAGTTAGGAGTATTGGCGACTCCGGCGAAATCGGAGCTGAAAGCTGTGGCGGCAGGTTCGTTCGCCAGCCTTCTCGAGCGAATCAGATATTCGCTGCGCCTGGTGGTTGAAAGACGAAGCCGCGAAAGTTGGTTCAAAAACGCGCAATGAAAGTTGCCAATAGGACTTAGTGCGACAGCAACACTCGTGTTCGCGTGACATTCCGGCTGTTGTGACGTCATTGGTTGCCACTTACGATGGGCGGTGTCGGACGCTAAACAGTCATAGACGCGTTCCAAGTACTGTATAGCAGAACAGGCGCCTGCCGCACACACGTCTGCGGCTGTTTCACTGCCAGGATTGCAGAAGGCAACAACAACATGACACTTCTTTGACGTCGTCAAACGGAAATCGAAGGACCATATTTGGTGACGCGGTAAACACAACATCGGATACGTGTTCCATTCAGGTACCATAATAAACTACGAGCGCGCGTCTCATACGACACGCGTCACAATAGAGGGGCGAGGCATTTTTTAAGCACTACACATAAACGATCGGCGCGGTCTTTTTTTAATTTTTAATGGGGATAAGGAGGAGAAGGACATGGTGGCTAAAGTGCTAAATTGACTGTAAACATACTGTTTATGGGGTAGTTAATATCTTTAAAAAAGTGAAAGCTGTTTACAACTCCTTGTAACGCCGAATTAGAGCGCAGCTCTTGAGGAGGAGGAGGGAAGGGTACTGAGGGGGGGGGTCATGTGACCTTGGGGGTCACGTGAACTCGGGGGGGGGGGGGCACGTGACCTTGGGGAAGGGTGTCCCCCCCCCCCCCCAGGTCCTCCCGAGGGGGGAGGGGGGGGAGGGGGGGCTCGCGGTTACGCCGACGCCGCTCAAGCCGGAAACGGGCGCCTAAGAGCTGCGCTCTAAAACTAATCCTAAGTAGTTATTCCTTTAAACAAATGGCAGACCTGGAATCTTTTTTTTTTTCTAGTTGTGAATTATATTAGTATACTAGATCCTAAGAACACACACTTGATTTATCAGATGAATATTGCAATGGACCTAGAGAAACCACAAATTTTGTGTTGTGAAGGCAGGCCCTCGTTCAGGAAAGAACGCACAATCCAAAAGCCAGCTTTGATGCCTTATCACGACTTCACATCGCCCATATGTTGGTTTGGGGAAGTTATACTCAGCTGGAAAGACAGTTTCTAAAATTATCTAAAAGGCAAAAACAAAATGCTTTATTTTTTTAAAGTGATGTGTGATACTGCATCACATTCAATACAATAATACCCTTCATACAAGTGTATATTATGAATGGTGTACGAAGTGTCAGCTACGTGCTACGTTGTGAAGTTAGTAGTTGAAAGAGTTGACAAGACCCGTGCCTTTAAAAATTTAATTAAAGCGACCTACTAGTCGAGTTTGGAATGTTTGTCATGTAAATCTGAACGAATTTAAATCATCTTACGGATACACACACAATGTGCACCTTAGAATTGCATTGGACACTCCGTGATTTCTATTTCAATTACGCGGTATAAACTTCTACGAAACAGGTGTTTGTTTGCTTTCTCAGTGAATTAGTTCTCGCGTTAGCACAGCCGTCTTCCGAGAACAAGTAGAGATTAAATTATCCAAACCACCTAGGAACTGCAACTCTAAAAACAATAAGTTGCTATATTTACTAGTCGAACTCCTGCTTCATCTTAAATAAAATCACTCATGGATATAAAGAACCAAAATATCAGATAGTAATTAATTATACAGTATATGCTACAACGATTGCAAATATATACAACAGTCTGTAGAATTTGATGTGGGCTCTATAA